GAGCATCATGGGAGTGTTGATGAATATTTGTACTTGTATAAAATAAAGAAACAACTGAAGCTGGTTAACTGTTCTTCTCTGGAGGGAAATTCCTGATCTGGGAAAAAGGGCGTGGCCAAGGAGCAGACAGCACGCTCTGATGTCATGTTTTGGTTTGTGACCCTGACCTCCATTTTTTACACCCCGAGCCGTACTGCTAACACAAGCGTTCATGCATTGAGGGCGCCGGGTGTTTGGCGCCCCTGTAGGAGGTTGTAGTCCTCCAGGTGGGGATCCGTCCATCAAGTCTTAAGAAGCCCACAGTGACCATTTATTGTTTTAGTCATTTTATTAAAAAACAAATAAAATCATGTGACCTCTGACATCTACACACAAAGAGACAGCATGTAAACAGGAAGTCCCAAAGGTAACGGAAGATAAAAACTTTATCGACAAAGGGGTGTTGACAAGAAACAAGATGGAGGACAATCCCTGGAGGTCGAGAAAGTTCATCAGGGGGAGAAGAAGTTTCCGGCGTCAACACGCCGTCGACGAGTCTGTTGCTGCTCGAAGAACTGACGGATATCCTCAGGTGTTACCACCTGTCAGCCAATCAGAGAGTAGAAACAAGTCGTCAGGTTTTATCAGCCAATCAGAGAGTAGAAACAAGTCGTCAGAGTTTATCAGCCAATCAGAGAGTAGAAACAAGTCGTCAGACTTTATCAGCCAATCAGAGAGTAGAAACAAGTCGTCAGGTTTTATCGGCCAATCAGAGAGTAGATGTAGGTGTGACTCACCTTTCCTTCTGCTGCAAATTTCTGCAAGAAATCCTTGAGCTCCGTTTTCATGTCGTTGTATCCTGAAAGAAAACCGAACAGAAGCTCGTGAACACCTCTTCAACCTGGTCCAGGTATCCTAGAACTCGTGGTAACGTGGGTTGGTAACGTAGTACCATGAAGTTTTCGTACCGTGGATGATCTCCAGCTGTTGAACTCGGTTCAGGTTGTCCAGCGCTGACATCAGAGGGTCGTTACCTCTCGCCGTCTGTTCGCTGTTCTTTCCTTTGTTCTCATAAGCGAGGACCGTGTCCGACTCGTCAGACAGGAAGGACACGCCCGCTGCAGCCATACGTTCCTGATGACACAAACACGTAGAGTCAAAGAAAGCACTCACTGAGCATGCTCAGACTGACACCCGAGCCAATAAAAACAGGTGAGCGTTACCTGAGCCAATAGAAACAGGTGAGCGTTACCTGAGCCAATAGAAACAGGTGAGCGTTACCTGAGCCAATAGAAACAGGTGAGCGTTACCTGAGCCAATAGAAACAGGTGAGCGTTACCTGAGCCAATAGAAACAGGTGAGCGTTACCTGAGCCAATAGAAACAGGTGAGCGTTACCTGAGCCAATAGAAACAGGTGAGCGTTACCTGAGCCAATAAAAACAGGTGAGCGTTACCTGAGCCAATAGAAACAGGCGAGCGTTACCTGAGCCAATAGAAACAGGCGAGCGTTACCTAAGCCTCCTGAAGTCACCTGAACGCAGCATACCTTGCACGTGTTGCAGGAGCAGAGTTTGGACCGCCATCCAGACGGCCAGAATACGGCGCCCGATTGGACTCTTTTCTGATCAATTGCCTGCAGCTCCTTTAGTTTACAGTTTGGCCCCGCCTCCTCGCGGCTTCTTTTACAGCTGGGCTCGATGACATCATCATCCTAAGAAATAGTTGATAATAAATGAATCACATAAAGCAGTATGAAATGTCATTTAAAGCAGGTAGACCTGAACTCACCTTCTCTTCTTTTTTTGTGTTTGACTCGTCTGCTTCAGCCTCCTGCTTCAGGTCAACACCTGGAACTAAACGAGTCGCACACAGGTAAACACTAGGGGGCGATATAACCCTCAGGTTGAGTTTTTTTATGAAGAGTGTGTAAAGTGACTCAGGGTTTATCCCATGTTTTTAGCGTTTGTTACCATGGTGATCTACCAACATGAGAAAAGGGGGTGGCGTGTTTACCTGCCAGGTGAGCGGCGTAGGTCCACAGGAAGGAGTTTTTTGTCATACAGGACTCACAGATCATCTCCTGCAGCTCCACACAGTCTGGAACCTCAGAACCCAGGTGCTAAAAAAAGAACACAAAGGTGAGACCACCAGAGGGCGCCACCTCACCGTGTGACATCACAGCTGACAGGTAAGTCAGGTGCACTGTTGGGACTCACCCTGCCGTGCAGCCAGTCCTCGCACACCACACACTGAATCATCTCATCCTCCACCTGCAGATACATTCAGCCAATCACAGAGAGACTCAGGTTACAGAGGAGCACGAGCACACCTGGTGGGCAGGTGAGGTTCAGCTGTGAGTCTCACCTGGTCGTCTGGGTCAGGATACGGTCTGTTGCACGTGCAGTAAACCCCGAAGAAGTTGTGACTGTATTTGTTCAGATGGTTGACGTCGTCCTTCTCCTGCAACACACACACACACACACACACACACACACACACACACACACACACACACACACACACACACACACACACACACACACACACACACACACACACACACACACACACACACACACACACACACACACACACACACACACACACACACACACACACACACACACACACACACACACACACACACACACACACACACACACAGGCGGAGCCTTTAAGACTCACACACACTTCACTCCGATCATCACGTCATTATTCTTCATACTCACCGGGGAGAGTTTACACTGCAGCTCAGAGAACTTCCTGTTTCCACAGTCACAGCGGAAGTTCCTAAAACACAGAAGAAGAGTTTGATCATTTGTATAAATATGAAGTGTGAAAACTCATGAAGGGGACATTTTGATTATTATTGATAACCTCTGACCTTTTGGTGTAAAGTTCGTAGAGGTGGTGACCTTCGTGACATTTGTATGAACAGGCCAAACACACACCTGCTGCCTCTCCTCCACCTGGAGTACAGGTGTGACAGGCGTACACAGCCTGACGCTTCACATAGCCCTGACACACACACACAGACACACACACACACACACACACACAGACACAGACACAGACACACACACACACACACACACACACACACACACACACAGACACACACACACACACACACACACACACACACACACACACACACACACACACACACACACACACACACACACACACACACTTTTAATTCATTATTGGATTTTGCGTATAACAATGCGATTAACGCGATTAAAACTTTTAATCGTTGCCCAGCCCTAATTATTATATATATTTAATGAAAATAGTACAAAATGTATGAGTCCATCAGTACCTAGGATACTTGGACAGTACCTAGGATACTTAGACTGCACCTAGGATACTTGGACAGTACCTAGGATACTTAGACTGCACCTAGGATACTTGGACAGTACCTAGGACAGTACCTAAGATACCTGGACAGTACCTAGGATACTAGAACAGAACCTAGGATACTTGGACAGTACCTAGGATACTAGGACAGTACCTAGGATACTTGGACTGTACCTAGGATACTTGGACTGTACCTAGGATACTTGGACAGTACCTAGGACAGAATCTAGGATACTTGGACAGTACCTAGGACAGAATCTAAGATACTTGGACAGTACCTAGGACAGTACCTAGGATACTTGGACAGTATCTAGGACAGAATCTAGGATACCTGGACAGTACCCAGGACAGTACCTAGGATACTTGGACAGTACTAGGATACTTGGACAGTACCTAGGACAGTACCTAGGATACTTGGACAGTACCCAGGACAGTACCTAGGATACTTGGACAGTACTAGGATACTTGGACAGTACCTAGGACAGTACCTAGGATACCTGGACAGTACCTAGGATACTAGGACAGTACCTAGGATACTTGGACAGTACCTAGGACAGTACCTAGGATACTTGGACAGTACCTAGGACAGTACCTAGGATACTAGGACAGTACCTAGGATACCTGGACAGTACCTAGGACAGTACCTAGGATACCTGGACAGTACCTAGGATACTAGGACAGTACCTAGGATACTTGGACAGTACCTAGGACAGTACCTAGGATACCTGGACAGTACCTAGGATACTAGGACAGTACCTAGGATACTTGGACAGTACCTAGGACAGTACCTAGGATACTTGGACAGTACCTAGGACAGTACCTAGGATACTAGGACAGTACCTAGGATACTTGGACAGTACTAGGATACTTGGACAGTACCTAGGACAGTACCTAGGATACTTGGACAGTACCCAGGACAGTACCTAGGATACTTGGACAGTACTAGGATACTTGGACAGTACCTAGGACAGTACCTAGGATACTTGGACAGTACCCAGGACAGTACCTAGGATACTTGGACAGTACTAGGATACTTGGACAGTACCTAGGACAGTACCTAGGATACCTGGACAGTACCTAGGATACTAGGACAGTACCTAGGATACTTGGACAGTACCTAGGACAGTACCTAGGATACTTGGACAGTACCTAGGACAGTACCTAGGATACTAGGACAGTACCTAGGATACCTGGACAGTACCTAGGACAGTACCTAGGATACCTGGACAGTACCTAGGATACTAGGACAGTACCTAGGATACTTGGACAGTACTAGGACAGTACCTAGGATACCTGGACAGTACCTAGGATACTAGGACAGTACCTAGGATACTTGGACAGTACCTAGGACAGTACCTAGGATACTTGGACAGTACCTAGGACAGTACCTAGGATACTAGGACAGTACCTAGGATACCTGGACAGTACCTAGGACAGTACCTAGGATACCTGGACAGTACCTAGGATACTAGGACAGTACCTAGGATACTTGGACAGTACCTAGGACAGTACCTAGGATACTAGGACAGTACCTAGGACAGTACCTAGGATACTAGGACAGTACCTAGGACAGTACCTAGGATACTTGGACAGTACCTAGGATACGTGGACAGTACCTAGGACAGTATCTAGGATACCTGGACAGTACCTAGGACAGTACCTAGGATACTAGGACAGTACCTAGGATACTAGGACAGTACCTAGGATACTTGGACAGTACCTAGGACAGTACCTAGGATACTTGGACAGTACCTAGGATACGTGGACAGTACCTAGGACAGTATCTAGGATACCTGGACAGTACCTAGGACAGTACCTAGGATACCTGGACAGTACCTAGGATACTAGGACAGTACCTAGGATACCTGGACAGTACCTAGGACAGTACCTAGGATACCTGGACAGTACCTAGGATACTAGGACAGTACCTAGGATACTTGGACAGTACCTAGGACAGTACCTAGGATACCTGGACAGTACCTAGGATACTAGGACAGTACCTAGGATACTTGGACAGTACCTAGGACAGTACCTAGGATACTTGGACAGTACCTAGGACAGTACCTAGGATACTAGGACAGTACCTAGGATACCTGGACAGTACCTAGGATACTAGGACAGTACCTAGGATACTTGGACAGTACCTAGGACAGTACCTAGGATACCTGGACAGTACCTAGGATACTAGGACAGTACCTAGGATACTTGGACAGTACCTAGGACAGTACCTAGGATACTTGGACAGTACCTAGGACAGTACCTAGGATACTAGGACAGTACCTAGGATACTTGGACAGTACCTAGGACAGTACCTAGGATACTTGGACAGTACCTAGGACAGTACCTAGGATACTAGGACAGTACCTAGGATACTTGGACAGTACCTAGGACAGTACCTAGGATACTAGGACAGTACCTAGGATACTTGGACAGTACCTAGGACAGTACCTAGGATACCTGGACAGTACCTAGGACAGTACCTAGGATACCTGGACAGTACCTAGGATACTAGGACAGTACCTAGGATACTTGGACAGTACCTAGGACAGTACCTAGGATACCTGGACAGTACCTAGGATACTAGGACAGTACCTAGGATACTTGGACAGTACCTAGGACAGTACCTAGGATACTAGGACAGTACCTAGGACAGTACCTAGGATACTAGGACAGTACCTAGGACAGTACCTAGGACAGTACCTAGGATACTTGGACAGTACCTAGGATACGTGGACAGTACCTAGGACAGTATCTAGGATACCTGGACAGTACCTAGGACAGTACCTAGGATACTAGGACAGTACCTAGGATACTAGGACAGTACCTAGGATACTTGGACAGTACCTAGGACAGTACCTAGGATACTAGGACAGTACCTAGGATACTAGGACAGTACCTAGGATACTAGGACAGTACCTGAGGATATGAGCAGTGATCAGAGTCACTTCCTGCTAACACAGCTGAAGCTTCTTCCTCCAGCTCTTCATCCTCCTTCAGGACATCCACCAGAGACACCGTCTGCTCCTCCACCTGTCCGTCTGACATGCTCACCTGTCTGTCTGGAAGACACGTGTTGACGTCACTTACTATACAAACACCGCGTGCAGCAGAGTACCTGACAGGTATAATCAGGCTTCCGGTTATTCTGCTCCGTTAACGTCAGGCGTCAGTTAGCATTGATTAGCATCAGTTAGCTGCGACTGTATAATGAATGTAAACTCTCGAATTGGAAATGCTAACCGTGTTAGCTGCTTAAAGGCTACACAAACTTACCAAGCCAAACAGAGTTTTAACAGGAATGTTGATCAATAACAGGCAATAATAATAATATCAGCTCCGTTCGTCTGGTCAGATCTTTGTTGTTAAACCGCTAACCGCTCGCAGCTCTGATGACAACATCCGGTTTACTTCCGCAGATTGTCTTGGGCGGGTTTCTCAAAGTCCACTAATTTAAAATAATATTTATAATTAATTTTAATATTTAATTAATTTAATCACTGAGAGGGTCAGACGGACGGACATTAACGTTTTAAGTGACGTAAAAAGACGAAATTTCTATAACGGAGTTTGACGAAGTAACAACGGCTAAATGTTGCATTCACGTACCACCTCCGGTATCAGACAAATTTAAGGGGGGTTAATTAGAATAGAATATAAAGTATATTTATAAAGCACATTTCATCACAATGAGGATAAAACACAGAAATATAAGAAACAATTTCAACAATCATGAATTAGATACAGAACTGTTTTTGACTATTTATATCACTACTGTCTTAAAGATGGAGTCACTCCTCATTATTGTTAAACACTTCTCGTTTTACTAAACTACTACTGCTACCCATAATACTCTTATACTTTAATGTATCCCTTTATTTAAATGTATATCACTATAGTTCTGCTGCTTTATTGTGTGTAAGAGCAACTGTAAACACAACATCCTCCCTGATTTATCATAGGGATTTATACAAGTATTTCAGATTCTCTTTCTGATTTAATGAGGGTCCTTGAAGGCAGCAATTTCTGCGTGATGACGACAGCAGGACGTTGTAGTAAAGATGGCGGCAGTGCGTGCAGAGCTGATGTACAGAGACGGACAGAGAGAGAAACTCAGCGTTAAAGTAGAAAATAATCTGAATTCTCTGATTAACGGGATTCAAGAACTGAACGTGAACGTGTCACGAATCCTCAGCGAGCTCGTGGAGCGGGAAAAAGTCGGCGGAG